CCACACACACACACACACACACACACACACACACACACGGTATTCAGAGGTTTGATACTTGCTGGCCGTGGATTTGCATGATGTGCTTTCTGCCAACCTTTTACTCTCTGTACATTTAATTCAGTCAATCGACAGAAATACTGTACTGTGTAAAGTAGTCAGGTATTGGAGCAGAGCAAGCGATGTACTGGTACCTGTAGTTGAACAAGAGCGTCTCTGTCTCTCACTCACACACAGACGTGCAACTCACACACCTATGTTGCTGTGCAGCAAGCGACTGCAACAAGAGAGATAACAGCAGGACAACAAACACACACAGGATCACAAGCACTACCATGGTCAGAGTAAAAATAGGGTTCTTAGCACAGTAGCAGGAGTATTGCCCAGACTTGCCTTCCCTTGCTTACACACTTAATGTAATTGAAGTGAAATGTGTGATTTCCGTCAGACCTCTCCTCCTCAGTGACATTTGAACTTCAGCCGTAGTTCTTCTCCAAAGCTCGATGTTAGGTTAGAAACTAACCAAATAGTGTTTAGGATCCCAGAAATGCAGACACAGACAAAATACAATAACAAAAATGTTTATTATCTAAAATTCAAAACTGACAAATCTATCAAAGGTGTTAATCTGTGGAATAATTTCGAAACGGACCTGAAAATGAGTAAATCGCTTGAGGAGTTCAAAAACAAATTTAAAAAAAAATAGTACAAACAACCTACATCAATCAGAGTTAAAATGATAAATTCTAAACATTAAATATAATGATAAATCAGAACTAAGTTGATAAATAAAGAAAGGTATGGAAATATCCATTATGAATACAAGAGAAAATTGACACAAGAGTGCCAGGGTATGTATGTATGAAATCCCGATACAAACCAAAAGTTGTAAAAATATCACGGTTAAGGGTAAAGCATGAGCCTTAATGGAGACTTCTTTCTTCTTACTTTCTTTCTTTTCTGATTGATATAAAAATGATTTATTAGACATAAACACATAACACGGGGTAGGACTAGATAAGTTCCTTACTTCTTCCTACTCCCTTGAACATAATAACTGTTGAATGATGACTGATTTCTCTTTCCTTTTACTATTTTACTTACCTTACTTTCTGTCAAATTATTACTTGTGTTTTATGTTCAATAAACAAATGAAACGAAACGAAACAAAGGCCAAAAACAGAAAACGCTAGTCACAAGGACCTAGGGAAAAACGTGGAATCAACAAAAGCCGCTTGATAAAGGCAAGGTCATGGAATACCGAGAATACAAACAAAATGACAAGAGTCCAATTAACACGACAAACAAAAGCAAGTTCAAATGACCAAACGATGATATTTACAAAACGTGGAACTAGGGATCAAGAACGACTTTGACGAGATCGAGAGGTCTAGACAAACAACACTGGAGCAAGAGCAGCAACAAGGTCAATAATCCGACAAGCACATGGGATCTTGGCAGTCCTTAATTACATGGCGTAAACATGTTGATCAAATTGGCAGCAGTTGTGCATGCTGGAAGAGAAGCCTTACACTGCCATCTGCTGGAGAAACACAAGAACAGGATCATGACACACGTGATGTTCTCTCCAAACATTAAGATGAGAGATGATAGGTCCCCTGTTTACATGGAGAAGCTGCAGCTCTTCATTCATTGTATCAGTAGCCAGCAGTGTTGTTTTGCTGTCAAGATCATGTGACAGTATGGAGTCACCGTGGACCTCTCACAGAAATGATGCCCGGGTTCTTTCAACAGCCGAGATGTAACTGTGCTTCTCCACAATGTAATTATGATGCCATAGCTACGTCTATTGTTCAGTCATTTCTAATCCCTCCCATTCTCCACATTCCTCTGTGGTTGAATTGGAAGCCGTTGTCTTTCATTCTCTCCTGTTCTATGGAGATTTAACTGTGAAATTGTGAATAACATGAAATGACCTGTGATTTTTATTTTGACACACTTTTTTTCTCTTCTCTTGTTCTAATTTTGCCAGGGCTTTCTCTGGAAGACATGGTAGGTTGTTAGCACATACAGATTACCCAATAATTTTCTTCTCGCTATGTTCACATATTGTTTTCCTTTTTGGGTTTAATGATTTATTCCATGTTTTTTTTCCCACAGAGCGTGATGCTTTTGACACCCTGTTTGACCATGCACCGGATAAACTGAATGTTGTCAAAAAGGTAGTGATGCTTTGCACAAGCACTGATGATTCATGAACCACATATTTATAATATGAAATGTCTTAAAGCAAACATTTAACCACAAGTAAATATGTCAACATTGAACTCCAGCAAAGTACCCAAATTCAGCACTTTGGAGCAAATACACCTAGAGCATCATCAGCTAAGCTGTTCAAAGCAAATCATCTTGGACTGTGAGAGATAGTCCCAAATGGACCTTCTTGAGGCTGCTTCCAAATGAAGCTAACATTGGCTGGGTCTGTAAGAGGGGAGAGTCACAACTAGGGGGGATACACAGCAGTGCAGCCCACCGTTGT